CCCCAAAACCCCAAAACCCCAAAACCCCAAAACCCCTTCTATAATTAAGGGTATTGAACTCACTTAAAATTTAACATGTTAATATTTAGCTTTTCAGCTTAAGTATTAGAATTTATGACTTGGTGCTATATGGTCGCCCAGTCCTGCAGCTTGTAGTTTTAATAAAGAATCTCTGCCTTCTGACTGAAACTTTATTTTACCAAACGAGTGATTGTTAGACCCACTTTCATCTACGTTTTCATTGTTTTGGAGAATATTTTTCATGCTCTCCTCAATAGTTTTTAATTTTCCTTGAGGTCTTTTAGTTAGAAAAGGGGTATCATTAGGAGCTTTATTTATCACTGTTCATACTCTCTAGCTTTGAAGGCTTTATTCCTTTATTATCTTTAGTTGTTTTATCAGAGTCTTTGTTTTGGCAAATATTTGAAGAATTTTCTACTTTAGTCTCATCTTCTTCGTCAATCTCATTATTTTCTATTTTCTTTTGTCTATTTTTCCTTCAAAGTCATTTTAGTCTATTAGTAATTTTAAGTTATGCTTTACTTTTTTAAACTCTCCCTGGATTAATGGATCAAGAGGAGCATTGTTTGTTTTCTTTTCCTCTTCACTACTCACTGACCCTTGCCGTTCTAGTTCTCTATTTTTCCATGTTGGGGGTTTGTTGTTGAGTATTGATACTCAAAATTCCAATATTGGGGTTGCTTTGACGAGCATTATCTCTGCTTTGAATAAAGCTATTGATTTCAGAGTTATTTAAGCTTGTCCTAACCTTCTTTTGAGGCTTTATTTGATTGTTATTGACACCTTTTCATCATCTGTTACAGGTAAATATAGATAGAAGCACAGATGCAATCTTTCCAGGTTTCCTTTGTGAACTATAAAATTGGCATCTACTTACTTTTGATTTTTCTTCATTTCAGTCTCATCAATTGTAATCTATAATTGTTTTAACCATTATACATTCTTAAACGAGTCGTATCGTACTCTAGCTATTCTTTTTGAAGAGCCACCATCTATAAAAGTAATTAAATAGTAAGAAGGTTGGAAGCCTTATAATGGCCTATTGGTTCAAATGGAAAAATAGTCTGAAACATAACTGATTGCAATAAACCGATTTTGTAATTATCTTTTGTTTGGGATAAATCTATTCCCAAAAGTTTTAATTAAAAATTGTCACTGAAATGAAACCACTACCTTGATTAGGATCACTTTGATTATGAACACTTGAACCTTCTGACATATTTTAACTATTGTAGAAAAGTATTATTTCTCAAAAATATTAATCAATAATTATAAAAATAATTGGGGTTTTGGGGTTTTGGGGTTTTGGGGTTTTGGGG